TTTTTTTTTTTTTTTTTTTTTTTGCGAAAATTTTTTATTGGAAATATATTATACAACATTAACTAATGTATCAAATGACACTTTTGAAAGTGTCATTTTGTAGAGTGCTATTGAGAATGCTCGTCACAGGTTTTTAAATGTGTTGGATGTACAATGGCGGGCAAAAGAAAGTTTAAAAGGTAAATGGTGAGAAGATCCATAATTTAAAAGAATAAAATTATTTTCATAGAAAAGAATGAAAAAAAATTGAAGAAAGAAAAAGACGAGTTAAAGAAAGTTTAAAAATTAAATGGTACAAGATAATCAATAATTTGAAAGGAAAGAAATAAGAAGAATTAAAGAAAGTTCAAAAGGGTACGAGATAAGTCATAATTCAAAAAAAAAAAAAGAATTAATAAAAACGAATTGAAAAGAAAGTTTTTTGAGTTGATAAAGAAAAAAAATTTATAAAAAAGAATTGAAGAAAGAAAAAGAAGAATTGAAGAAAGTTCAAAAGGTAAATGATACAAGATAATCCATAATTTAAAAGAAAAGAATTTAATAAGAGCAATGAGTAGACATAATATATACATTCTAGAATACATGATTGTTACGTTGATAAAAAAATCTCCAGCATTATATAAAATATATCACGTTGACAAATTTTAAACTTTCTTTTGACCAGTGTATTACTAAAGCACTTCCTTTTCTAGCTACTTTGATCCTTGGATAAGAAACAATGAGAGTGAACCAAATCTGACGAACATAGTGAATAATGTAACTATTTTAATTTGTTTTACTGGGAGGAAAAGTGCTAACATATGAGATATGAAACTCGTTTTATAATGCTTATACAAAAATTGTTGTAATTAGACTGCGGATTTTTTGTGCAATTTCATATTTTTGAAAGTACAATTCAAAAACCACAAAGTAGGAGATAGAGAAATTGTTTTTACGTGCCAAATACTATATAAAGCACTACATCTTGTATACTTTCTACGTTTTTTTTTTCACATTCTGTGCATTCTGTATTGTTTAATTTTACATGAAACTCTGCAGTCTAGTTATCACTTCAAATATGTTCCAAAATTTGGATGTAAAACGAGTGAAAAGTAAAGCCAAATGTCGCTGTCAATTCTATCAACTTTCCTTTGGGAGTTCGGTGATTTCCGAGACAGACCTTGTGCATTAACGCAGACTGTGTTCAATTATGGAATACGAAAACGTTCGTTCGAATTATTGTACGAAAAAAGAGATGAGAAACGTGTTCTTCTTTTTCCGCTCGCTGTTCTACAACGCCGTATCGGAATAAAATGAACATCCGCTTCATCAAACTACCATTCACTGTAAAGAAAGAAAAAAGTTAAGAAGCACAAAAAGTACTTTTTATATATTTAACTTCTAATGCTTGAATCTTTTACATTACTTTATAGAATATATCTGTTGGACTCTTTCATGAGTACAAGTAGACTGCGGATTTCCACGCATTTGAGAAAAGTTTACAGATGCAAAAAACATACAAACATTTGAACATGATGCAAAAGCATATATAAAATACTTAACGATAATTAGATAAGTGGATGAATTAAAATTCTATCTAGATTCTATTCCTCCAACCGTGTTCATAATAATATAAAATTGCAAACATTGGTCATCCGCAGTTTAGATGTAGAACTTTCTTGATAAACTGATAACAAGTTTTATCTTCTTCTCTAATCAATAATTTTCAAAGTCAAGCGTAATATTTCTTTGCATCAGCTTTATACTGAATTTTTTGGAATTCCAAATTTGTAGATCGGCATACTTTTTTCTTTTTATTTTATTTATGTGACAGATTTGTTTCTTTTTATTTATTTATATGACACACGGTATATATCAGTACATTTTATTCCGATATGTCACTGTTTTATTCCGTGATCCTTGTCTGTTGTTCGCGCAATTTCATTTGAAAAAGCGAACGATTGACAGCGAGAGGATAAACCGGAAGTATGTAAGTCGATTGTAGTTATACGCGTTTAGGAATTGAGCGAGTCGTGTTGCCTCGTCGTCTTCGAATTAAGCAAAGAAGAAGCGACAATTGGCACGGACGGAGTAACTTAAACGAATCGTTAAACGATTTAGCCAGTTAGCAGCTAGTCCGTCGACGATCGAAGGATCTTCGATCAACGAGTCTTTTCTTAGATGTTGATGTTTAGCCTGATGGGGTCCCCTCGTCGACGACATAATCTAGCGACGTTCTCGTCGCCGCAGCATTTTTTCCACAACTTTTCAATATTCGCGTTCGACTCGTCTTCTCGAAACAAAACGACGGAGCCGAGTTGAAAAAAAAAAAAAATGATTAATTCAATATAATTTAACAATTCATCAGAGCATCATAAACAGTTCACTTTCTTTAAATTTCGTGAAATTTTTAGAATCTTAGAAAAAGATTCTTGAACAAAAATTCAAGCGAATGTCTGTGGATTTTTCTTCCATAGACTCGACTAAGTTAAAAAAAAAAAAAAAAAAAAAAAAAACGCAATTTGAAGATAATTCGATTGATACAATATTGATTGTACAGTACGAATTTTTATGTATTTTCTAGTGCAGAAATGTGTAAAACATTCAAAATGTATATATAAATACTCCTTAAAATTTTCTGTCATTTTTCTATCTTAAAATTTTCTATTCAGATTCAATTATTTTCGCAAATAATTATTGTATTTATAGATTAATTCTGAAGGTCGTCTGCTCGATGCAGATAATACTTCCGTTCTCCAGCAAAAGTCTACGAACCGTTTAAAACTGTTCTTTATCCGTCATACTTTTTGCAATAATAATTTAATTAATAAGTATTGCCAATTCTATCTCGGCCCGGTCGTTTTGAGAAAGCAAGAGCTTTTCGCGCGATTATCTCAGTATTTTCGAGAAAAAAGAAGAAACAGTAGCACGGTGAGATAAAATTACAAACATTACTTTGCCAAAGCTGAATCGAGTTCTCCAGTTCCTCTGGACAAGGAAAAGCAAAGAAAATGAAAAATGAAAAGTTGTCGGAAGGGAAACTCCTAAAAACTCGCTGGGACATTTCAGTCTGGTTAAAGTTTATTCCTCCAGCCCCTCTTTAGCAATACACACAACGTTCACAGTTACGTTTTAAGCTACTTGACGACTAGCAGACGTCTGCGAAATATCTCGGAAGGAAAGTTCGGAACAAAATTGAGAGAAAAATTTGAAACTCCGCGGGAAAGCAGTTGGCGCGTTGATGATGATGTAACAGTTTGTTTTTCTCACTGAAAAATCGTCCTAGGAGTGAGAAACGCCGCTCCAAAGGAACGTTTAGCTTTTCACGATATCGTGAATATTTGCGAAATTCCGTGAAATCTAGAAAGAGAAGTTAAATTGTAAAAGTTTTATGGTCTGTGTTGTGATGGTGAAAAATCTTCAGGAAAGACCATAGAAAACAATACAACGTTTAATCTAATTTATTTTCTGTGTACTTAAGGTAGAATTTCTTGTAAGTGCTCATGCGCATGCGCGTTAGGCATGTGCACATTACACGCATGCGCAAAAGCGTCTCCACATTACACGCATGCGCAGAAGACACGTTTGCACCACACAATGGCTGCCGCCTCGCGCAAGTGCAACATTAGGAAATCACATACTGTATATTTTATACAATTTTGTAAGTATGTATAATAATATGAAAAGTCAAGTAGGATATTATTGTTTATAATGATGTCAAAAGTCTTTGAAAGGGTGTGTTTCATCCCTGAAATTGCTATACGTCACGGTGCTAATTACCAACATCACGTGTAGTTTCAAATGTCTTCTTTGAATTTTCCAGCTGCCGAACTTCCCTTGTTACGATGTTTCGATGTTTTTAAGAAAAAAAGAAGAAAAAAAAAAGAAAGAACTGTTGTGTAAATAAGAAGAATCGGATAGTGCATATCGCGAAAACGCTGCGGAGAGTCGTGGTGTGAGAGAGTGGGAGAGAAAGGGCTAAGACAAAAGAGAAATCAAAGAGAGTGAGTGTGTGAGAAAGAGAGAGAGAGAGAATTGCAGAAAAAGCAACCGGACGGAGAAAGAGAATAAAAAAGATGTTTGTGTTTTGACGAATGGTTCAATCATTTTAAACACGCGTTCCTCTGGACTCTAGAATGCTCTCTCGCCGTCAGGAAGTTGCGAGACCGAGGAGCGGCTTTGTACCGGACGTTGCGGATGAATCCGTGGCAAGGAATCGTCCACGAGTCGAGAAGTTCACAGGATGAAATTGAGGGAAACTGTTTACTAGAGAATATTACGAATTGTCTAAGATTATTCGGAGATTATTAATCCTCCTTGGGCAGGCCAGAATGTTCTGTTCTTTTCACGAGCATAATCGCAATCAATCAAATCTAATCGAATCAATGATTTGTCAGTCGAATTTAGAACTTATGACACTGACAAATAAACCAGGTTGCCTATGGAGGGTTTCTAATTGTTACAGAAATATATCAATTATTATAAAGATTTCAAGATAAAAAAGGGAACACGGGTCTTCGTTAATTTACGACAAACGGTTCTCCATGTGAGATCGATTGATCCAGCGACGAGCCTTCAATTTTCTCTCTTCTGCCTGTTTCTAAAGGGCCCCCAAGCGATCTCGAAGGATTCACTGTTATTCACTCAAATTCAAAGGCTTTTTTTTTATTAACCCAGGTATGCCCAAATTTCCATCTCGAGGCAACGTTTAATTAATTCGCAAAATTAATTAAATTATTTATAAGCTAAATATAGAGCCAAAGTTAAATTAGGTGTGTCAGTTTACTAGCATTGTCCATGCAGAAGATAACGTTAAATGCTGCCAGAAGTCTCAAGACAGATGCAAACGTAACGTTGCAGTTGTTCTTCAGGAATAGTTGGGCATATCCGAGTTAAATACTGAATTAATTTCAATCTCTAAAGAGAGAGAGAGAGAGAGAGAGAGATTCTTCGAAGGTTTATTCAGCTAGTCGCTGATCAAGTCGTCTTATTGAGGAACCGGAACCGTTCTCACAAACTGATCATCACACATTGTTGTATCGCGGTGTACGAAGAGAAAAGCGAGAAATATTCCAGAAGAAAATCTACGAGAAAACGTTTGTAGGAAAGGGATTACGATTGTCGTGCGTTGTTGGTAGTACGAAATTTGAAAAGGGGAGCTCCTCTCTGTGTTAATTATAACGAGAATTTCTTTTTTTTTTTTTTTAGGCGCGAGAAAGAGGAGAAAGGAAAACAAAAGCGAGAGAAAACTAAAAAGAGAGAAATCCGTAGAAAATAAAGCCAAGAAGCTTCGTCGTGGACGGCTCTAAGCCTGTTATTTTCTGAGAGACAGCAAATTATTTATTCCTAATAGAGTCTATTCTTATAAATATATATCTTTCGACTGAGTTCCGCGTCGACTTACCGGAAGCAACCGTACATTCGTGACCGTAAATTCGTTCGCGTGTAAAACGAGTAATAT